TCTCCAGGTGAGCATTCCCAGCTCTCCCATCCCAGCTCCAGAGGTTTCCAGCCCCGGAGCACCCCCAGCTCTCTCTGGCCTGGCCCCTCCAGGTCCCCGTGGAGCTGCAGGGCTGCCACACCCAGGGATTCCCACACACAATTCCCACACGCCGTGGCTTTTTCTGGGACAATCACCCATTCTACCAGCACCAGGCTGCATTTTTCCAGGGAAAGGTGGGCGGACTCAGCCTTTCTGCTGGGAACACAGAGTTAATTCAGCCCAAAGAGCACCAGGGAGGACCCAGCCATCCCCTTCCCCTTCCTGCAGATCGCAGCAGCCACAAGACAGAAGCAACCCCTGCACTCCCCTTCCCTTCCCCTTGCCTGCTCCACCGGGCAGGTTTCACATCCCAAAACGCAGCATTTACAACCTGGAGGAACTCCCACATAAAAAAAAAAAAAAAAAAAAAAACACACAAAAAACAACAACATAAAAAAGTCAATTTTATCCAATTTTATCTTTCCTCGCCATGCCAGACGGAACTAAGGCAGAACAGAGGGTCACTGTCTGAAACCTCCTCCCTCATGCTTATGTACAAGATTATAAAAGACAAATTGCTGGCATATTTTCCCTGGGAACTCTGCTGCTTGCAAGTGATGTTTCCTGCTGCTGGAAGGCAGAGCTGTCCCAGCCATCCCATCTGCAGGGATTTGTGCTGCTGAGCCCCCTCCCTGACCTCTCCCTGACTTGAAAGGAAAAGGAAGCTGCACTTCACAAACATGGGCATGGTGTGGAAAAATAAAACCCCTTCACTTAAATCCTGACAGAGCAGAAAGAAAGGAAGAAGGAAAAATAATACAGAGACTTTTGCATTCAAATTTGCAGCAATGTCTGAAGTTCAGTCTTTTTGCTCCGAGCTAAACTTCAGCTGTGATTCTGTCCTTTGAAATTCACTTCAGAGTGTTGATCCTGCTCCTTTTATCATCCCAGATGAAACGCAGAAGTGAAATTGAGGAAATTTAATCCAAATAAAGAGGTGGAGGTGGAAAACACGAGCCTGGGTTTGTTGAATGATCACAACTGGAGGCAAGGTCTTGCTGTGTTTGGTTTAGCGCTTCAGTTTGGTTAAAAGGTGAAGAATGTGTTTTCCAAGTGCACCCAGCCTATGGAATACATCAGGATTGGAAAGGGCAGCAGATAATTCCACGAGCAGTTCACTTTATGGCACAGCCAGGGCCAGAAGGTGAAGATAAGCAGCAATTTTCATACTCCAGGGCAGAGGGTGATTCCCTAGCAGGGCTGGAGGAGGAACCCTGAGGGCATTGCACAACCTTGGGGGATGCTTGTCAGAACTCAAAATGTCCCTCAGACATTTATGGATGTTCTGGGCCCAGGTCAGAAGCATTTGAGACCCTGGCAGGCAGCTGCAAACAGCTGTGATTTTGGGTTTGAACCATGGAATGATTTACCAGCCTTGCAGGAAGAACAAGTCACAAAAGTTTAGATATTAGAGTAGAAGTAGTCACAAAGTAGAGGGAAGAATTTTTGAGTGCTGTACAGGAGGGTTTTGGTTTTGTACATGGGTGGGGAGAGAAGAAGCAGTCGGGAGTCAGAGAGGATGTCAGGGTGTGTGTGTGCCTCTGCCTGAGCTGTGAGCAAACCACAGCAGCCCCAGGAGAAAATCTTTTAGAAAACTTGCAATAAACTGCCTTGAGACCCAACAACAGAGACTGCTGAGCCTTTCTTTGGGAGCTCGGGTTGGAGGAGAGACTTTTCCACCACATGGAGCCACCCCTGACCTGAGGTGAGCTCTGGCTGATGCTCTGCTCCAAACTCACGCCAAAACAGTGACTGCACGAGTGGCAAAGGAAAGCTGGCACAGCCTGGGCTCGCCAGGGCTGAGAAGGGTGGTGTTGGCATTTTTCTGTTGGTTCAGGCTGGGGACACACTGTCCAACGTAGGTGACAGATATTGGCACGTTCTTGTAAATGCAGCCCAGGGAGTTTCTGTATTTAATGTTTGTCACATCCCACTGAGGGCAGAGCCCCACACGCTGCCCTGCAGGACAGAGCTGGGCAGGGCAGCAGAACATGTGAGAGATCAACAGAATAAACAACCTGGAAACCAGCACAGACCAATTATGGCTTCTGCTTTGGCAGGGGGCTGACAGACAGAGATTTTCTACAATTTCAGAATCATTAATACTCAGATTCCAACACTCCACTTTGTCCCAGAGCCTGGGGAGAAGTCTCAGTTTTTGCAAGAGGCCTGTGAGCAGCTCATGGAACCTGAGCTGGGGTTCAGTGGAAGCAGGAACAGATTTTAGGAGGAATGGCTTCAAAGTGAGAGAGAGGAGGTTTAGGTGGGCTATTGGGAAGGAATTCCTCCCTGTCAGGGTGGTCTGGAATTCCCAGAGCTGTGGCTGCCCCTGGATCCCTGAAGTGCCCAGGGCCAGGCTGCAGCCTGGGACAGTGGGAGGTGTCCCTGCCATGCCAGGCGTGGGATGGGATGTGCTGTTAAATTTCTTCCAATCTAACCATTCCATGATTTCTCTTAATTCCTAGACCCATTTTTTCCCACAGATTAATTACTTTTTCAAGGCTGCCCTAAAGGCCAAGCCGGGCTAAAACGCCTCAAAATGCAAAGAGAACAAAGCAGCAACCGCCACACCACAATTTGTGCATCATTCAAATCG